TCCCGTGGCAGGCCAGGCAACGTCCACCTTTTGTATTTGTGGCGGATCCGGAAGTACGGATGTCCCCTGGCCCGCGCGGGAGGAATCTCCCGCGCGATCGTCGAGGCTGAGCCTCAGCCTCTGGGGGGGTTGCCGGGGGGGGCTCTGCCGGGGAAGGGGGGGTGGGGGGAGGGGGGTGCGAGTTTCCGGCGGATGCGTTTTTTGACACCCCTCACAAGGATCGTGGCCTCCGAGGAGGTTCCGAACTGGAGTACCACCCCTCCCGCACCAAGAGGCTCCGAGGAGGCCTCCAAGAGGCCCCAAGGGGCGCAGAAGAGGCCCCCAAGAAGCCCCAAGACGCTCCCAAGAGACCCCCAAGAGGCCCTCTAGTGGCCCCAAGAGGCCCAAGAGGCCCCCAAGAAGCCCCAAGAGGCGCCCAAGAGGCCCCCAGAAGTCCCAGCCAACCACGAGATCCCAACCAGCATCCATGAGGCCTCTGACCCACCACCCACGCACGGTGGCGGGATAGGCCGACGGCCACTGGATCCGCCGCCCCCTGCTTGCAGGGGTGCACGGCGTGCTGGATGTTTCAGGTTTTGGTTTTGGTTCTTTTTCTAAAAGAACTCCCCAGTGGGCTTCGGCCCGTCCCGCCGGCCACCCGTAATTTTCCCAAAATCCGTCTGTCAATGCCTTTGTTGCCCCAACTTGGCCCAAGATGGCCTCCAAGACGGCCAAGATGGCCCAAGATGGCCTCCAAGATGCCTCCCAGACGGCCAAGATGGCCTCCAAGACGGGTAAGATGGCTCCAAGATGCCTCCAAGACGGCCCAAGATGCCCTCCAAGACGGCCAAGATGGCCCCAAGATGCCTCCAAGATGGCCCAAGAGGCCTCCAAGACGTTCTCCAGGAGAGCCCGAAGAGGCCAAAATCATTGGTTTTCCTTAGGTTTTTGAAGGTTTTTTGCGTTTTCTTCTTTTCGGCCTTCCGACGGCCCAAGAGGCCCCCAAGATCGCCCAAGAGGCCTCCAAGAAGGCCCTATGACGGCCCAAGGGCCCCCCAAGACGGCCCCAAGAGCGCCCCAAGACGGCCCAAGAGGCCTCCAAGACGCCCAACATGGCCTCCAAGACGGCCCTGAAGCGCCCCAAGAGGGCCCCAAGACGGCCCAGAGAGGCCCCCAAGACGGCTCCAGACGGCGTCAGACGGACCAGGAACGCCCTAAGACGGCCAAAGAGACCCCCAGGAAGCCCCCAAAGGCCCCCCCCAAGGAGAGGCCCAAGAGGAGGCCCCCAACAGACCCCAAGGGTGCCCCAAGAGACTCCTAACAACCCTCATCCTCCTACTCTATTTCTTCCTCTTCCTCTTCCTGTTCATAATCATTCTCTCCCATGTGTTCCCCGAAAGCTTTCCAAACCGACTCGGGGAACTCATGGTCCGATAGCTTGGCCAAGCTCTAGTCCAACTTTCGGCCACATCGGCGTTTCCAAAAAGGCAGGGGGCGGCGGTGATTCGCCGTAGGCGTCTTCGATAAATGCTGAGTGAGAGGAGGGGAGGGAAAAAGAGAGGAGGGACGAGGGCGAAGAAGGATCACATCAGTCGGAGCGCCCCTGGCCGAAGGCCACTACAATAAACGTTTTCTTGCGCTCAAAGCGGGTCGCCCCCTCCCGTGGCAGGCCAGGCAACGTCCACCTTTTGTATTTGTGGCGGATCCGGAAGTACGGATGTCCCCTGGCCCGCGCGGGAGGAATCTCCCGCGCGATCGCGTGGACTGTCCTCCCACTCCTCGCAGCAATTTCCTCGATTCTGGCGGACGAGATGCCATGGGCCACGAGCTCGGAAGTGTTCCGACACATCACCGCTGGAATGGAGGCCGAAATCCATTTCGGCTAGAAAAGGAGTCGTTCTGGGAACCGTGCGCTTGCAGCCAGGGCGCGGCGCTGTGCTCCTTTCTCTTCCTGTCGCAGCTCCCCTGGCGTCGAAGTGTCAGTGGAAGGCCCTGAGTTACACGGCCCTCGCTCGATCTTGCAGGGAGCTGAAAGATCGTGGCAGCCCATGGTGCCTCTTCAGGCCCCATAGGTCCTCTTGGACTACCCAGTTACTCAGCTTTGGTGCGGCTCCTAGCAGAGCCCAAGACTCCGCTGCGAGCGCGTCAGCTGTGGGCGCCGAGACGTGCACGAGGAATGAAGAATGAAACGATGGGCAAAGCGTAGATGTTGCACGCGTACGTAGCGAACAGCAACCCAAATTCGTTCCATCGCCGGCCCCCGACGCGCTCTTGGAATTTGCCCACGATGCGTTCCACATGGCGTCCTCTTTGCCCGGCCCAACGACGCATCCGAGATATACGGCGACCCGTCTCAGCGGCAATCTGGCCCAGGCAGGAAACGCCAAGGAAATCGCGGCCGCCGCCTCTTCCAGCGAGCCACCCCAGAGCGGGATGCCGACTGTCTTCGGCAGGGCCACTTCCATACCAGACCACTAGCCGAACTCGCGGAGCGCCTTCTCCAAGACGGAAAACTGTGTCTCGGCATCGGTCAAGACGACGGCAACGTCGTCCACAAGAAAACGACTCGTCACCGCAGGCCCGAGTCTGGAGGACAGCACCCGAAGTAGGAGGGCCATTGCGGTCGCGAACAAGAGCTGCGACAAAAAAACATCCTTGGCGCAAGCCCGAGTCACGAATAACAGGGCGACTCCCACCTCAAGGAAGCGCTACTTTTGTTTGGTGACCTCGCAGAGGGAACACCAATGTCCAACAAGATGAGAATCCGCAAGGAGATCTTGCATGGACATACGCCAAAGGTGCAAGCGGCAACACCTTCAATGTACTGAGGTCGTCCGTGTTTGTGCTGGTGGCAATGCCTTCCGGTCAAACCTTTTGCAGGACCGTGCCGGACATTGGATGTGCCAGATGGCAAATCGAAGCGCTTTATCTGGGGATACCCTTGGCCAGAATAGCCTTTTTAAATGCTGGTGTTGCCGAGCACCAGGTCCCCCCCGCAAGCGAGCCAGACGCAAGCTGCACAGTGCCGTGGCACAGTCCCCAAAAGTGCAAACAATTTCACGAATCGCGGTTCGCAAAAAAATGAAAGTCCCACAGGGGAGACGGGTGCCCGAGAACGCTGGTGCCAGCAGCCGTTTCGCCCGAGATCTCCTTCCACTTTAGCATGGTATCGTGCTCGCACCTCGATGCCTGCTCCATTTTTGTTCCAGACGGCTGCGGTCCTCTTTTGAAATGAATATACGCTACGGCGCACGTGGCCGTGCTCTCCCCGCTGCCACAGTGCCGCGATCCATTGTGAAGGATGTGGTCCCTCCCCTGTCGCACGGCCACGATCCCTCGTCGAGACGAAACCTACGGTGCACATGGCCGTGCTCTCGCCGCTGTCACACGGCCACGGCTCCTGGCAAAACAAATTCACAACGGTGCACCTTGTCACGCGGCCACGGTTACTTGATGGAATACGCACTGCCGTGCACATGACCGTGCTCTCACCTCTGTCACGTCAACGCGTCGAAAGGAAAATATAGGAATGCACGTTTTCACCAGCCGACCTCTCACTCCTCGACCCGCCTCCTCACCTTTGCTGCTATTAGGGGTCTTCGCTGGGGAAAGTGTTGGCATTCCAGGAGCAATGAACAGTAGTCGTGGGATAAGAGTGCTGGAGGCACACCCTGAGCCGATATGCACGCCTTTGACGCGACCGCCAAGGATCCCACATCTGACAACCCCAGGTGGGTTCTCTTGCATGGAGGGCGCAGGCTGCGTCGGGTCAACAAGGTGGGATGATCGAGCAGATCTTAGGGAAATAAGCCCGCGCTGGAGACTTGCAATGCCTGCGTGGCATGCTGCTACTGCTCCTGCCACAGCTCAGATGGCAGCGAATACACCACCACAGCAACTCCTGGCCATGGCCACCCTAAGGATGTAACGCCCTTTGAAAGACGCGAAAGCCAAGCATGCGCGCGCCCAGATGTGCGAAGGATGGCCAGAACCGAACGATGCAATTGGGCCCGTCCTCACGCCGGTTTTTAAGTCTACACCATCCCAGCGCACCACACGGCCCTGGCCAGGGATGGTGGTGGTGTGCATCTGTGGTTTCTGAAATCATGGCTCCTGGAATCAAAGCCAGCGTGCCTGGGCAACGCTAACTTCAGTTATGGACATGCATGTTCCTGGCTGGACCCCGAAGAATTATAGGGTAGCTGTGCTGCGCCGAGCTCGGCCCACCAGCGCAGCGGAGGAGAGACAGTGCTCGAAAAGTGTGCGGCGACTGACGGGAGGGATGGGTAGAGAGGACCAGGAAGCGGAGGAGCAGAAGAGTGGGAAATAGCCAAACGGCGCACGCGCAGGCGCTCCTCCAGGACATGGGGCTCTGACGTTGCACTCCTGCCCTGGGCGCTCTGATGCCTGAGCCCTGCGAGTGGGCACCGATAGGTTCCTCTGCGGGGCATGGTCGGAGAGAAATGATCAACGCAAGGGCGTCGGAGAACAGCGGATTTCCCCATCCCGAATCGCTGTCTGACGGTCCCAGGGCCTGGCAAGGGACCAGAGGCCGAAACCTGCCAACAATTCTCAATCTGTGTTCTTGCACGACGCGAGGGCTTCTGGGGCGGACCTAACCTCAGCGTCTTGACTGCACGTCGGCGAGGACGGCCGTACGGGCGGCAACCGCGACCACAGCGGCGGCGCCGGCACCGACGCCGACGATGACGACGACGACGCCGACGATGCCGACGACAACGACGACGAACGACGGCGACGACGACGAGGCCGACGACGACGACAACGACGACGACGACGGCGACACGACGACGACGACGACGACGACGACGACGACGACGACGGCCACGACGAGTCCACGCCCGAGCCCAGAGCCCGAGCCCAGAGCCCGAGCCCCAGCCCAGGCCCGCGCCCCGCAGCCGAGCCCGAGCTCGAGCCCCAGCCCGAGCTCGAGCCCGAGTGCGGGCCCGAGGGGGGTGCGCACTGCGGCGGCCGCCGCGCGCAGAGGGGCCGCCGCCGTCCTCGGCGGGCCCCGCGGCGGTGAGGCCCCGGAGCAGCGCCGCGTCCTCCGCGGACCCCCGCGGGCGGGGGGGCGGGCCCCCCTCCGTCGTCGCCGCCGCCGACGCCGCCGTCACTGTCGTCGTCGACGCCGCCGTGGGCGTCGTCGCCGTCGTCATCGTCGTCGTCGCCGCGGCCGTCGCCGTCGTCACCGTCGCCGCCGAAGCCGACGCCAGTGTCGTCGACGGCGTGGTGGTGGTATGCGCCGTCGTCGTCGCCGTCATCGCCGCCGCCGTCCTGATCGTCGGCCTCGTCGTCTTCGTCCCATGCTCGCCGCCGCCGCTGTCGCCGTCGTTGTGAGTCAGAGGCTCCTCCTCAGGATGGGTCCAGACCCAGACCCCCTCGCGTCGTGAAAGGATCACGACGCAAGCTATTTTTCTGGTTTTTGCAATTTTCGCGCTGCCCCTGGGCACCCTCGCCAGGCCCCAGGACCGTCAACAATATTGCCCAGGATGAAAAACCGGTCCTGGGAAATGGAACGAGATCTCCGGGGGCCCACGTTTTGAACAAATCATGGTGTCGGGGGTCTGGGTCTCCAGCCTGAGCCCCTTCCCGAGGACTCGCCTGCCATCCCGAGTCGACGGCCCTGGGGCCTGGTGAGGACCTCCGGAGGCCGAAGATTGGCAAAAACAGCCGTCGTGACTGCCACAAGGAGTGGGACGCACAGAGACATACTAATACTAGACGTCCTCCTCGGAGGCGCCGAGCGTCCGCCCCGATCATGTAGTATACCCATCTTGTAGCACATCGTTTCCCGAGCGGCGTGGCCAGAAAGCGCCCGCCACGACGCATATACTAAAAGATTTCTCGGTGCGCGCGTCGCCCCTGGGGGCGCGACGCACATATAACAAAATCGGCTCGGGCGAGGGGGGATAACAAAGGGGGGGGTTTGAGAAGATTTTCCTGGCGCCTCCCGGCGCCGGAGGCGGCTATGTATCGAGGAATGGGCCCCTCGGTGAGGCCGAAACCAGCTGCATGCAGCAAATTTCGTACCCCCCCCTTTCCCAACTCCCCCCTTTCGTCCGGCCCGGTACAAGTTTGTTGGGGTGGCGCCGAAGGAAGCCTGGGCCCTCGCTTCTCTGGGGGCAGGGCCCTCGCGGGCCGACACCGGGCCGGTGCGCGCGCCCGGGCTCGAGCCCTCCAGGGCCTCAGAAGGCGGTGCCTTACATCCGTAGATGTGACCCGCGCCTTCTGAGAAGCAGGGGTGCCTTCGAAGATGCCCTCCGCCCTCCCCCCACCCCCCCCTCTGCGCGTGGCTGAAGGACGGCGGCGGCGGATGGCCTCCTTCTCCTCCGACGTCGCCGTGCTGCTTGTGGCGTGGGGGCCCCGTGGGGGCCGCGACCCTCTCCCTGGGGCTGGCGTCTTGTCCCGAGGGCCGACAAGAGACGGCCCTCCTACGGGGCCCGGAGGCGCAGAGGAGGCCGGCCACCCTTCGCGACCTCGTGCTGCAACGTCTGGGTGCGGCGCACCCCTGCAGGACCTCCAGGGGCGCCCAGCAACGTCCAGAACCTCCTCGATCCTCGGTCCCACCTCCTCCTAGACCCTCCACTTCCCACGATAAAGCGATAACTCCCCCTAGGCTGATGAGCAACGATCGGGCGGGACTGGCTCAGGAGGGGGAAGCATCGGCCTGGAATCGGCGATGCATCGCCGACAGATCGGCGATATGCCCCGATAGCGAAACTGGACCTCCCTGGGCGGGGTGGACTATCGAGCCTCTGTCGGCGATGAGTGGGCGATTGGAGGTCGATGCAACCCCCAGAGCCGACGTACGCATCCCCTGGTGGGCTTCGGGTCATAACTCGGGCCTCCGGCGCCCCTTCGGGACGATCTGGGTACCTCCATGAGGCTCTCGACGAGGCGCAACTGCTGGAAGGCATCCCGAGGCTGGGAAGACACCGCGAATCGACGTGAATGTCCGAAAACCTCAGCGCCTCAAAACTGCGCCCGCCTCCCCCAGCTGGGCCTACCCTGAGGCTGGTAAAGCCGCCGAGATCCGGAGAGAGCGACCGAAAACATCGAGCCTGGACTCCCCCCTGGGCCTACGTTTAGGTCGGGCATGCCCTCCTAATGGCGGATTTGGGAAAACAGACAACCAAATATTTAAACGTAGTCAAAAAATCGGAACGTCGCCACCAGACTATGTTGAGACTATTCTTGAATTCTCCTCCTGTAAAGGGGCTTGCCCGACTGAAGCCTACGTAAATACCACCCTGGCGTTGGCCCTGGCCCTGGAAATGACCCAGGTCGACGACGGCGACGTCCTCGAGGCCACCCGCCGCGGCGCCGGGGCGGCCCGGGGCAGGCGCGGCCTGGCCGCGCGGGCGCCCGAAGCGAGCGCCGCGCCCAGCTCGCTTTCAGCTCCTCCTCCTCCTCCTCCTCACCCTCCTCCTCTTCTTTTCTCCTCCTCCCCTCCTCCTCCTCCTCCTTTTCCTCCTCCTCCTCTTCCTCCTCCTCCTCCTCCCCCTCCTCCTCCTCCTCCTACTCCTCCTGCTTCTCCTCCTCCTCCTCCTCCTTCTCCTCCTCCTCCTCCTCCTCCTCCTCCTCCCCCTCCTCGTGGCGACCGGGTAACTGACAAAGAAGGTACGAAGCGCTCCAGCAGCCCGACGGCCTTCCCGAGACGGGTGGCGCGGTGGCGCCTCAGCGCCCCCAGTTCTGGCACACGACGGTGCTTTCTGGCAAGCGTTTGCACTGCCAGCCCATGCCGCTGGACGTGGTCTTCCTCTGGCTCTCAGTCGAAATCAATCCATATGCGCCCACGATTCGCACGGCAGAAAAAGAAGAAACAAACTGCATATCCAGCCTGAAGACTGTGCCTTCGGCGCACTCTCGCCCACGGCAGACGGCCGGCGGGAGCAAGACGGCGGCGGGTCCGCCGCCAGGGCCAGCAAGGCCCAACATGCCTCCTCCTTCTCCTCTTCCTCCTCCTCTTGCTCGTGGTTCAAATCCATACCCCAGTGGACTGGTCCATAGCTAAGTGAACTGGTTCATTCTTCTGCGGCACTGGGGAATGCTCTAGCTTGCGGGCGTGACTATGGTGAACGTTTCGAACGGGGTCTTCCTAGAAAAGGTCTGAAAAAAACAACAAACTGGTAGGCTTATATGCAGCCGTTGGCTTCCTCGAAACAGTCACCAGGGACTGGATCAGTTGGTGCGCGTTGTAGTGGTACTGACAGGTAGTACAATACTCGTCGTAGTCGTAGTCGTTGTCGTAGCAGTCGTCATGATACTAGTAGCAGTACAAGTAGTAGTAGTAGTAGTAGTAGTAGTAGTAGTAGTAGTAGTAGTAGTAGTAGTAGTAGTAGTAGTAGTAGTAGTAGTAGTAGTAGTAGTAGTGTAAGTCGTCGTCGTCGTCGTCGTCGTCGTCGTCGTCGTCGTCGTCGTCGTCGTCGTCGTCGTCGTCGTCGTCGTCGTCGTCGTCGTCGTAGTAGTAGTAGTAGTGTAGTTAGTAGTAGTAGTAGTAGTAGTAGTAGTAGTAGTAGTAGTAGTTAGTAGTAGGTAGTTAGTTATAGTAGTAGGAGAGATGACGTGATCCACCGCCGCTTTACTTTGGAAAATTGCCAACCTTTTCCTCCGGAGCCCGGGGTTCCCCCCCCCCTCCGAAAATCCCCCCCCCCCTGCTGGACCCCCCCCCACACCCCACCCTCTCCCCCGGCAAAACCCCCCCCTCCCCTAACCC